GGGCATATAGAGGGTGTTTACAATGTTGCAGCTGAAAATGAGCATCATGTATAAGTATACAGCTCTGACTGTGCTCCATCTTAGCGCCAAAATAGCTCATCTGTGATCGTACAGAAGATTCAAACGAAAGGCAATTGGCGCGAATAGCTAATCAGGTAATCATGTGGCAGCAACTCAATGCATTTAGACATGAATACATGGTGAAGACGACCTGCTGAAGTTCAAACTGAGCATCAGAATGGGGAAGAAAGGTGATTTAAGGGACTTTGAACGTGGCGTGGTTGTTGGTGCCAGACAGGCTGGTCTGAGTGTTTACTGGGATTTTCACACACAACCTTGTTGATGCCAGAGGTCAGAGGTCAGAGGAGAATGGCCAGACTGGTTCAAGATGATAGAAAGGCAACAGGAAGTCAAATAACCACTGGTTCCAACCAAGGTCTGCAGAAGACCATCTCTGAAGCAACAACACGTCCAACCTTGAAGCAGATGGGCTACAGCAGCAGAAGACCACACCAGGTGCCACTCCTGTCAGCTAACAACAGGAAACTGAGGCTACAATTCACACAGGCTCACCAAAACTGGACAATAGAAGATTGGAAAAACGTTGCCTGGTCTGATGAGTCTGGATTTCTGCTGCCACATTCAGATGGTAGGGTCAGAATTTGGCATCATGATCCATCCTGCCTTGTATCAACGGTTCAGGAGGCTGCTGCTGGTGGTGTAATGGTGTGGGGGAGATTTTCTTAGTACCAACTGAGCATGGTTTAAACACCACAGCCTCAAACTGGTTTCTTGAACATGACAATGAGTTCACTGTACTCCAATGGCCTCCACAGTCACCAGATCTCAGTCCAATAGAGCACCTTTGGGATGTGCTGGAATGGGAGATTCTCATCATGGATGTGCAGCCGACAAATCTGCAGCAACTGTGTGATGTCATCATGTCTATACGGACCAAAATCTCTGAGGAATGTTTCCAGCACCTTGTTGAATCCCAAGAATTAAGACAGTTCTGAAGGCAAAAGGGGGTCATACATTTAATCGAGTTTCAATGCCAGACTTTATTTATGATGGAGTTTTTTTTATATTAAAATATTGCTGTTTTTCTTGAGTAAAAGATTTGAATACTTTGATTCTGAGCATGGATGGATTACTGAACGACACAGGCCCAAAGCGTCAGTGCCGCCTTGGCCTTCACCTGTCACTCGATGAGACACCTTCCGATCAGGAAGAGACTTAAAATGACCACAAAGAGACACAAAACGACTACAAAGAGATGCAGAACAGCTGCAAACAGACACAGAGACTGATGAAGACTATGAAAAAGTGCAAAACAACAGCAAAGATGCTCAACAACATTGAAGTCTGTGTCTTGCTCCTTTGTAGGAGAGGTGGTAGGGCCGTCTGTCTCTGCTCAAGGGGCCCACCGTCTCATAATCTGCCTGTGGTTCTGAAAGGTTTTGATGCAGCATTTGTCACAATTTTCTAAAATAAAAGATAAATTAATCAGCGATGAAACTCATGACTCCAGCTGCAGCTCTAGACTCTATATCTCACATCTTTCCAGTGAGCCATCTGAGGGGGAGCAGACCAGATCAGATATGATGGTAACACCGTTTCACACTTCACCTTGACTGAGCACGTACAATACAAATCAAACACATAATGAGTCTCAGAGAGTGAAAGGTCAGCAGGGGCCTCCTGCTCCAATTTGTAAGGTTTGTTTCTCAGTAAATTCACCAGGGTGTAACCTGCCTCTTTCCCAGTGCATGCTGGGATAGGCTCCAGCCCCCCGCAGCCCTGCAGCGGATAAGCAGCTTAGAAAAAGGCCTGATAGATAAATGGGTGGATCATTTATTCTCACACCCTGAGATCAACAGGGATGATGAGGATTTTTCTTTCCCACCAAACTATCCTAACCTGGGTAGTGTGTGCTGTATTTACAAATGCTTATAGTTTTCTCAGACGCAGATGCAGACAGATGGTACTGCGTCTTGTATGGCGTACTTTTAGTATGTTTTTCATTTTAAATGCACAGCATGAATACGTGAGGAGCATCTAAAAGCACAAAAAAGTTCACAGACACTTTGTCTTTGTTCATTATTGTATAGCAAGTAAAATGTTTGACAATTGGATGCCCCTTGTAACTTAAACTTAAGTATAAATTCAAAGTTAACCTTAAGTAGCAGTGTATATGATTCATAGGATTTCTCTAGCAGTGAGGGCCGCAGGTTGCAACCAGCTGAAACTTCACCCATGTGCCAAGCGTTAACTCCCGCTTAGGATTCCTTCAGTGTTTATTGTTCAGGAGGTTTTCACTGTGAGCCAAATTATCCCCAGAGGTGTCCTCCTCTCCAAAACAAGCAGACCTGCAGATCTGAACCAATTAAAAACACTGAATAAAGCAGTTTCTTGTTTGTGTTCTGGGCTACTGCAGAAACATGGTAATGCAACATGGCGGTCTCCGTGGACAAGGACCTGTTCCCTGTGTAGATATAAACGGCTCCATCTAAGATAACAAAAACGCTACAGTTCTTAGTTTCAGGTGATTATACACTAAGAGAAACATACTTATTATATCATATTCCATTTCTGCCAGTATAGCCCCCTAAATCCTACACATTGGACCTTTAAGTCACCTTCTGGGCTCAAATGGCTTTAAACTGCCATACTGTAAAAATCTGACCTTTGAAAGCATATGGTCTAACAATGACAAAAATCAATTATGGAAAACACCATAGTGTCTCTGTGTGGCTAGTATCCCACATCAATAAAGTCAGAATTATTTATATATATATATATATATATATATGTCTGTTTTCAATGTATGTGTTTATCTTATTTTGCAATTTTTATAAATGCATCCAAATATGTTTTACAGTTAAACATGTCGTTATATTTCTTCAAAAATGTAGTTTATTGTATTTTTGTTTCCTTTGGTCTCGCCTCATTTTCCTTTCAGTCCCTGTAGTGTTGTTTGCCATGTAATATTATTGTTATTTCTACAAGAATCTTTAGAAAGAGAAGAGCCATATCATCATATTACTGTCACAACACAAACTATGTTCATGAACAGAAGGACACAAAATAAAAATCGATGCAAGTGATATAAATATTTAATAAAGGTTTGTGATTCTTCCATTCTGGGTAATGGGAACGAATATGTCATAAAACTGGGATTTCATTTACATCCTATATCTCTTTTTTTTATTGCATAAATGTATGACATATAGGCCTATCAAAATGAAGATGGACCTCAATTATTTTAACAGTAAAAAGACCAGAAAAGTGAGGTTAAACAATGAAAACACAGTAACCTAATGAGCTGTTTACATTGCCTGGTGTCTTTCACTGGTTTTGTGATCATTTAAAATATTATAAGGCATTTATTTCTATAAGGCACATGCAGTCTTGATGTTGAATTGTCATCTTACCTTAACTTTATAATGATGAAAACTCTGTCTGTGTGTCTGTTCCACGTTTTTCTCCTCACTGACTTGGTCAATCCATGTGAAATTTGGCACAGTGGTAGAGGGTCATGGGAGGATGCGAATGAAGCAATATTACATCATTTGGCCAAAGGGGGGCGCTATAGCAACCGATTGAAATCGCAAACTTTGAATGGGCATATCTCATGCCCCGTATGTCGTAGAGACATGAAACTTTGCACAGAGATGCCTCTCCTCATGAGGAACACATTTGCCTCAAGATCCCATAACTTCCGCTTATATAGATTTTCCGCCATTTTGAATTTTTTGAAAAACACTTCAAATCAATCTCTTCCTAGGAAGTTTGACCGATCTGCATGAAACTCGGTGAACATAATCTAGGGACCAATATCTAAAGTTCCCTCTTGGCAAAAGTTGGAAAACTTACTAAATCTGAGCTTCTATAAGGCAATGAATATTGTGGAGGGCGTGGCTCATCACATAAAGGTGTATAACATCTCAAGGGTTTCACCCATCACCACGCAACTTTGTAGGCATATGACCACACATAATCTGAGGGGACCCCTCCATTATTGACCCCATCAAACAAAATGGGGGCGCTAGAGAGCTAATTTCTTATCTAGGCCTAACTGCCATATGGATTTTTACTAAACTTGGTAGATATGTAGAACAGGACGCCTCAAGGTGACTGGAGAAATTTAACTCTAATTGGCAACTGGGTGGCGCTATAACAACAGAAAAATGCTTAAAAATCGCTAAAATGCAACAGATTGCTGTGGCTCCCCCTGTGGACCAATGTTGTTGGTTTTTTTTCTAATTTTTGGTATGACTAAGTTCCCCACTTTTAAGTCAATACAACATATAAACATTTTAACTATCTGCGTTTCAACGTGCTACCTCAACTACTAATGTACAATTTTAGCCCACTAACTATCCCACTATTGGCAATGGTGCTACTGTACTTTCAATAAAGCAATGGTACTATCAAATTCACAAACACTCTGTCTGAATACATTGCTCTTCTTAATGGGTTCAGTTGACTATTTAATCTGCAACTTCTTATGACCTGTATCCCAAACACACACCATGTGAAACTGTACGTGGGCAGCTGTGCACTCAGTGATTATGAACTAGTCTATCATAAAATACGAATAAATAAGCAGCTGCACAACAATTAACATTTTAATGACAAAAAACTCTAAAGCACAATGATCTGCTCATCTGTGATTAAAATAAAAGTGAAAGCTCTGCTGCCCTCCTGCGACCGATGCAGCTCCTCTAATTGGGATACAACGGTGCTACGTTTATAACACGTAGAAATACCGGCATTACAGCTTCAGCGTTGAAAAAGACCGTTTTGATACAATTTATGGAGGCCAGCAACCACCCGTTTCTTTTAGAGTATATGTGATATAAAACAATACAACTACTAGTTTTATTTGTCATCTGTGATAGCCTTGGTTGGCATTGTTTGTCAAATGATGAAACCGATAGAATTATAGTTGAGTCCATCGTATGGTGTCCCAACTTCCCATAGCCAGTGAACGCAGCACCAGGACCAGACTGCCTTACATTGTTAACGTTGATTTCTCCCGTTCAGCCAGCATTTTTGTCTTCCGTGAGCCAAACCGGGACCACAGCCTCCCACAAAACACATGAAATCACGGCTACGTTTGGCAGCGGGACCCACACCGGCACACGGTAAGATACTTTACGGTGAATTCATTCAATTTGAGTCAGTTGTCGGGCTCAAGACGGAGCCAGTAACGCTCCTTAATACAAGCTAATGTCCACGATTCTGAATATTTCATATTACAGGGGCGAGTCATGGTTTTAATTCAGGTAAAGCTGAGCTGTTTGGCTTTTATTTTTGTTTTTAGAAGACAGGAGTTTTTAAGAGCACAGTTAGGCTGTGTTAAACACCTGTCCGGGTCCACTCTGGTCATTATTTAAGGAGATATGACTTTACTCAGCAGTCATTTTTTTCTTGCAGGACTGAGGAAGGAAGGAAGCTAGCGTGTTTCCCATGGCTACACCAAGCTTTCATGGGGGGTTATTTGCATTTCTAGCCAGCCGGTGTTGATATATGTGTGCTTATATGACTATTATCTGTAAAGCTGGCAGCTGTTATAGCCCAATAATTCAAACAGTTGCCCGGGAAAATAATAGAGATAGTCGGGACCGGAGAGGAGAGATCAGCTCCAGGAGTCGTGACGTCGCCCCGGAGGTGCAGGTTCATTGCTCCGTCACTTTGGTCTCCTTTTGTTGATTGAACGCCCACCTCCTCCTCAGTCATACTCGAGGTTTAATGTCTCTCCTCTCTCATCTGTTGATTTTGCTCTGGAGGCTCTAACATGAGGAGGACTGCTGGCTGTAACCCTGCCCACACCGGAGGCTGCTGCTGAGGATGGTGCCGCTGTGAAGAGCCGCTGAACCCGTTTCGGAGGACATGCCTGCGGTCGGGGGGAAAGGAAAGAAGTGCCTGGACAACATGACTGTTTTCAACCAAGAAAATGTTGAGGATTATTACGAGATTGGAGACGAGCTGGGGAGGTAAGTTTTATTTATTAGGGTCTGGTCTTATTTTTTTAATGCGTATGAACTTCTCCTTTTTTATGGCAGAGGTGTGAGAGAGGGAGGGTGGGGGAAACACCTTAGTGTCATCTCTTAATTTGTATGATTATATTCAGAATGTTAACTCAACCATCCAGTGTACAAAGAGTAGTCCTTAATGTATGTTTCCATGCCATGCTGCACTCACACCTCTGCATACAGGTAGTCCTTAAATACTGCCACCAATGCATGCTCAAATCTATATGATTAGACTATATTTAGCATTTTAATTCATGTGTCCACAGTGTGCATGTAGTCCTAAATGTGTTTACGTGCCATGCTGCACCTACAGCTACAACTCTGCATACAGATAGTCCATCTGCTTAAATTAGTATGATAATATTTTGCATTTTACTTCTTCTAATATTCATATAATAGTCCTAAATATATGTTTTCATGCTGCACCTACAGCTCTGCATACAGATAGTTCATACACCTACATTTATATATTTATTATTCCACCTGAAGTGTTCATATTATTGTCTCAAGTATGTTTCCATGCAGTGCTGCATCTACGACTCTGCATACAGATGGTCCATATGCTTAAAATAGTATGATAATATTTTGCATTTGAACCCCTCTGTCTGAGGTGTTCATGCTGCATCTACGACTCTGCATACAGATAGTTCATACACCTAAATTTATATGATTATATTTCTCATTTCAACCAATCCATCCATATTATTGTCCTGAATATGTTCCCATGCCATGCTGCATCTACAACTCTGCATGTAGATAGCTTATGTACTTAAATTCATATGATTATGTTAAATGTTAAATTTTTAAGCCATCTATCTGAAGTGTCCATATAATAGTTCTAAATATATGCTCCATGCTGCTCCTACAACTCTGCATACAGGTAGTCCATGAACACCTGCACTTATGCATGCTCAAATTTATCATTACGCTGTATGTAGCATTTTAACCCATCTATCCACAGCTCATGTAGTCATAAATGTGTTAATGTACCATGCTGCACTCACAGCTCTGCATACAGTTTGTTCATTCACCTAAATTTATATGATTATATTTCCCATTTCAACCAATCCATCCAAAGTGTGCATATAATAGTCCTCTATATATGTTTTCATGCCGTGCTGCAGCTACACTTCTGCATACAAATAGTCCGTATGCTCAAATGTATATGATTATATTTATCGTTTTAACCATTCCATCCTAAGTGTTCTTATAATAGATATGTTTCCATGCTGCACTCACAACATGGCATATACATTAAACACTAATGCACGCTCTCACTCATGCATGCACACATACTATCCCTGTGAGCAGTCCCCAGGACACGCACCACCCCCCCTTACTGCCAGTGCGTCTGATTAATGCAGTCCATAATGCATCATTGTCAGTGATGAAGAGGTTAGTGTCTGTTACTGTTGCTGCCTCTTCCTAGAGATTTATTGCAGGAGGGAGCGTTGTACGCCTTTACAGGGAGAGGATTTACATCGTGGCACAGGCTGCTTTCATTTCATCCATGCTGTGTTTGGTCAAAGGTGAACGCTTGACAGCGGGGATAAACAGGTTGAATGTAGATGTAACAGTTTGCCGAGACAGGTGTTGTGGTTCTTCAGGGTGTTTTTTTTTTGTCTGTAAAGTTGTTTAAATGACAAAACGGCATGGTCACAATAAGGCTGAAGAGCAGCTGATATCCTTGCTGTCCTGTTAAACATGAAACCACTGTATCAAAACTGGTGACTGTCTTGTTTTAAGCTTACTTTAACTGCTGCATGGATTAAAATCTACATTATGTTATAGTAAAAGTAGAAATAACTCAAGTCAGAGTGTGTTTATCCTCTCGGTGGATCGCAGATGGCTTCTCAAATGACTGTCAGAAACATGGAAATGGATCTCCGTGAGTTTCTGGTTATCAAAGCGACACATGTACTCCGTGTTGGTAATAATCAAGCAATTGTTATCTGCTCTCCGGGGCCTGTCTGGCAACACTGCCTCTCCTATTAGTGCTCACCTTCCAGCACTGTGGGGGAGAGCTGAAGTTGCTGTAGCTGCTCCACTATGCTACTTTGGTAATAGAGACGATTGGGGAGCTTTATGTAATGGGATTGAATTTCTGGCTGGAGGTAAAGACACGGCTCTGTGAGTGTGATAGTCTCATTTGGTTGTCGCTCCAACACCAGGATCCATTCTCCGTTGTAGTTTGATTAGGAGAGAGGAGATTTGAAATTGGGTCGTCTGACATCATAGTGAGATAATAGTGGATTTTTTTAATATTTGGAGTTTTGAAAGATGATAAATATTGGCTTTTCTTATAATAAAGGCATCCATGCAAGCTCGTATTTTGATTGAGAGCAGCCCAGATAGAGTATTACACAAGTCTGTTTTTGAAAGGATTTCATTTCTTTATGAGAAAGAAGAATTACGTATGACTTGAGGGGGAGCTCAAGGCTGCTGCATATTATGAAATAATACATTTAGCTCAGCTTTTGATAGCCTGGTTAATCTATAAAACTCTGTGAACCTACTTTTGGAAATAAGTCCAATAATATCTTCTCTAGAACAGAAATGAATAATCCGTCAGTGGGAGGCATGTTTTGCATTGGCTAAAAATGGCATAATGCACCTTGTCTACAGCCAAAACGGGACACTGGGCCTTGAGCGTGTATTTAGAATTTTCTCCTAGAGACACATAGACTGTAAAAATAATGGTCATAGCTACCGTGACGTCAGCTATTGGTTTGTGGACTCAAATTTTGAAGCAGTCAGCACCTGGATTTTTGGAGCCAGATGTGACCACATTTGGGTGAAAGGCTGGCACTGTGGAGGAGCAAGGAGCGAGGGGTGGATCTGACTAAGAATACGAGAAGACAATTGGGAGACAGCCTGTCATAAAAAGCGTCCCACCCTTAATTATGCATAACTTTTAATAAAATGGAAACCAGTGAGTTATATGAAAATTCACCCACAGTTCACAGTTGTCATGAATGTTGCAATTAGCTTTAAAGACCAAAACCATTTTTCCACCAGGCTGTAAACATGTTTATTTCTGCTTTAAAGGTGGGCTTTTTAACATGGGTGTCTATGAGGTAGAGATGCACCGATCCAGCTTTTTCAGTTTCGATACCGATCCCGATGCTGTGGCTTTGAGTATTAGCCGATAACCAATACCGATCTGATACCATGGTTGACCTAAAAAGCTATATACCTTTACATGTAGAACAGAAAAGACTAGAGGCATCAGGCATTGATGACTACACAGTTCTTTCTTAAGATTAATTGAATCAAGTTGAAACAGATTATTGCAATGATTAACTATTTATTTTTATCAAAAATAAACAATTGTGCAACAGCAGTTGAAATAGTGTGAAATACCTCCACACAGCAGATTCTGTCCTTCGCTCCTTTTCCCATACCTGATCCATCTATTTTGATGATATCGGTGCCGATATTCGATCCAGATATCAGATTGGTGCATCCCTGCTATGAGGACTTTCTGGCTTTTGGAGCCGCCTCATGTAGCCATTCAAGGAACTGCAGCTTTTGGCACTTCTGTGTTGGCTTCATTTGCCAAACCCGGAGGTTGCTGCTCGGCAAGACTGTTTTTTAGCGTCAAACTTCATGCCAAACATCCCATCTTTATTTCTCTCACAGTACGACTGGACTTTGATGACACAAAGTTGACAGCTGTATTCATATTTATGGTTGTTTTGGATCCCCAAATACGACATCAGACACTGCTAGATGTCTTCTCTTTTAATTAGAGCTGCCCAGTATTGCCCATCAGTTTTCCATCGTCATGGTGATGTAAACCTGCGCAATAGACACATCACAAAAGACTGCGATATTGCACTTTGAATTTCGTAACGTCTTATGTAATCTGTCTGTACTGTAGGGGCTACATTGATGCACGCCATGCTGTTAACTCTCTGGCCAGTCAGACAGTGCCCTCGCCAGAAGGCAAAGTCTGATCGATCAGAATCTGTATGCATGCGAGGGAGGTTTATTAAACTAATGCTGCTGCACTGCTTTGCATGGTTGGAGGAAAGTGTGACAAGATGAGTGCAGACAAAAGTGCAATTCCAAAGAGGAACTGGTACCTAAAAAAAATAGCACGTCAGCCGTCTGGCAATATTTTGGTTACAGAAGAGACAGGTAATGTGCAAGTAATATTGTTATGGCAATATTCAGTGCATATTCTTCATATCATGCAGCCCTTGTTTTCCTTAGCAGGACTAAAGGCTTCTTTTAACTTTTGGGTAATATTTTAATGAGTGAAACCCCAATTGGACGAGGAACAGGTGGCCTTATATAGCAGTTTGAGGACTTTGCTTATGCCAATGATCAAAACTCAGCAATGGAAATTGATAGCAGTGTTGTGCATTTAGGACAGTTTGCTAAATCTGACTCTTTTGTACACTGTGATAATTTTTTTTAAATGACTATGAATATCGTGCTGTGTTCCCAAACATTTTTTTACCATGCATTAACTTGGATGAACTTTGGGATAAACCAGTTAGTTCTTGATGAAAGCTGGTGAGTCTGTCTATTCATTGGCTAGATAACAGTGGCATGACCTGCACTGTAATGCCTTGCACGCTTAAAGACAGAGAGGCTTTTGATGTGACTGTACTCCAGGCTGCAGAGTCTGGCTGGAATTGAGCGGAGGCCCATTTGGTTTGGCAAAATGGGAAATCATCCAAGCAGGGACTTTATCCATTCACTGAAACTGACACCGCCTGCTTTTGGTGTGTGCATGCATAGTGACACTGAAGCCTGGTGAAGCTGAGCATCTAAGCTTCATTAGTGTCTAGCTCCAGTGAACATGCAAGCAGTATAATGAGGAGGAGGGTGTGTGGAAGAAGCAACGCAGCTGCATAAATACAACCAGAGGAGATGTGTGGAGCTCCTTTGAGGGTGAAGTGTGCAGCCTGAAGGGTATTTCCAGCCCTTGGAATCACCTGCTAAAGCTA